CGATCCCCTTCTCCCTCTCCCTTTCCCTTTCCCTTTCCCTCTCCTCCCCCTTCTCCCTCTCCCTCTCCCTCTCCTTTTCCCTTTCCCTCTCCTTCTCCCTTTCCCTCTCCTTCTCCTTTTCCCTCTCCCTCTCCTTTGCCCTTTCCCTCTCCTTCTCCTTCTCCCTCTCCTCCTTTCCCTTTCCCTCTCCTCCCCCTTCTCCCTCTCCTTCCCCCTCTCCCTCTCCTTTGCCCTTTCCCTCTCCTTCTCCCTTTCCCTCTCCTCCCGCTTCTCCCTCTCCTTCTCCTTCCCCTTCTCCCTCTCTCTCTCTCTCCCTCTCTCTCCCTCTCTCCCTCTCTCTCCCTCTCCTTTGCCCTTTCCCTCTCCTTCTCCTTTTCCCTCTCCCTCTCCTTCTCCTTCTCCCTCTCCTCCTTTCCCTTTCCCTCTACTCCCCCTTCTCCCTCTCCCTCCCCTCCCCCTTCTCCCTCTCCTCCTTTCCCTTTCCCTCTCCTCCCCCTTCTCCCTCTCCTCCTTTTCCCTTTCCCTCTCCCTCTCCCGCAACCACCCACCTTGCCACACACGAAGCAGCATCCGCACATATCCAGCACGAAGCCGAAGGAGCAGTACTTGACCATCGACCTCTTCTCGCAGGTGGTCTGGGCGCAGGGCACGCACGACAGCGCCCTCACCCTGGGGGGGGGAGGGGGGTATTGGATGTTTAGTTGATCATTGTACTGGTGATGATGATAATAGTATTGGCTATACTAATGCTAATAGTAGTAGAAGTAGTAATAGTAGTAGTAGTAATAATAACTATTACTCAAGAGGGCATACCTCCGCCAAGTCAATAGGGTCACTGATGCAATAAAAATATTCACACTTGAAGAATTACTATAACTGGTGACGTCCGTGGTTCCCTATCTCGCAATGCTAAAGAATTCTTTAAAAAAATCTTGGATTCTGACCAAAATTTAAAGGCATCTAAGTTGAGCTGAGACACATCTCTGATAAAAACATAAAAATCTGTTCATAACTTTTTGAGTTATCCTGCTAACCAGCAAATAATCTAACTAACAAACCAACGCTACCAAAAACCTAACCTACTTGGCGGAGATTATAATAATAATAAGGATAACAATAGTAATAACAAAAATGTAATGATGATGATAATGATATAAAAAATAAAATACTACTAACAGTAATCAAGACATTATGGTTTACATCAAACAATAATTATAACAATAGCAAGAGCAACAATAATATGAATGATATTAATTTTAATGATAATAATGATATTAATGATAATAATAATAATAATAATAATAATGATAATAAAAATGAAAATAAAAAGAACAATAACAATACTACTGCTTCTGCTGCTACAACAGCTACTAATGATGATGATTATAATAATGACAAGGACAATGATGATAGTAAGGATAATAAAAATAATAACAATGATGATAGTAAAGATCATAAAAATAATGATAATAACATTAATAAAAATAATCATAGTGACAACAATAGTAATAATAATAACAATAATAATAATTGTAATAATAGCAATATCAATCATGAAAATTAATGATAATAAACTATCATCACCATGATAGTTTATCATCATGATAATCATCATTATAATAACAACAGCAATAATAAAGAAAATGATGGTAATGATAATAACGATAATAGTAAAAATAGTCATAGTAATAGTATTAGTAATAATAATGATAATAATAATAATAATAATAACAAAAATAACAGTAATAATAACAATAATGATAATAACTACAATTAATAACAATGATGATAATGATGACCACTAATAATGATGATAATGGTGATGATAAGGGTGATAATAATAATAATGAAAGAACAATAATAGCAATGGCAGTGACACTGATAATAGTAATGAGAATAATAATATGATATTGATAATAACAAAAAGCATCAACAGCAATTATGATCGAAGTAAAATTAAGAGTAAAAGTAACGGTAACAATAATAATGATAACAATGATGATGATGATGATGATGATGATGATGATGATGATGATGATAATAATAATAA